AGTAGCTGGGATTACAGGCATGTGCCACCACGTCCAGCTGATTTTTTGTATTTTTAGTAGAGACAGGGTTTCCCCCATGTTGGTCAGGTTGGTCTCGGTCTCTAACCTCAGGTGATCCACCCGCCTTGGCCTCCCAAAGTGCTGTGATTACAAGCGTGAGCCACTGCGCCCCGCCAAGTTTCTATGGCATATTTCTGGTTATAAAACATCACCAAACATCTACAGAAAGACCAAAACACTTCTAATATTAAACATTGAAATTAGTGTGAGCTATATGTACAGTATAGAAAGAGTAATAAAAACAAAGCAAGATCATTATTTATCCAATTATTCCAGTTCGGGGTCGTGGGTGGCTGGAGTCTGTCCTGGCAGCTCTGGGCATTAGATGAGCACCAACCCTGGACAGGATGCCATACCATCGGAAGGCATACTCACTCAGGGACCGTGCAGACATGCTGATCAGTCTAACAACGTGTGTCTCTTTTGGGTGTGAGAGGAAACTGAAGTACCCGGAAAAAACCCACTCAGACATGGGGAAATTGTGCAAACTCTACACATAAATGGCCTTCCTGGTAAGCAATTTTTTTCCTCATCAATGTTATAATAAAATGACCTTGGACAGAATGATGTTATATGAGGACCTGCTGTGTTTCCAAAATAGGTACTTGCAACAAAATATTAAGACAGTTAACACCATTTACCACTCACTGATCAACAGTAATAATAGTTAAGGACAGAGGAGCTGGTCAGTCTGGCAATAACCTGGGATACACAGAAAGGTCCTCAAGGGGAGCAGAGCAGGGGATGTTTGTTCTATGAGCACTCTGTCCTGCCAGCCACCCGACTCCTCAGGCCGTGCCTCTGGACATGGGTTTGCATTTTGGGGAAATGTTGAGGTGACAGTGGCAGCAGCATGGAAGAGCCTGTAAAAATGACAAGACTTGACTCAGACAGGGAGAGGTTGGCTGTGGGGACCAGTCACTCCAGGGCCAACTTGAGGCATGTATTGTGTTCCTCGGGCAAGCCCAGAAGTCCTGGAAACAAGGGATGCCACAAAGAAGAGATTTTTGGCAATTGGGCCACCAGGAGCTTTAAGTCTTATCCCCTGAAGTATCACTGTGAAGTGCACAGTTTGTACTCAAAGCCTCTGACACGAGATGTAGACAGTTACTTATCACTTTGTAAGTAAACATTTGATTGAGGTAAAAAAAAAAATATGTATATAACACAGAAGTACATACATCACATATGCACAGCTTGAGGAATTTTCACAAAGAAACACACATAAGCAATCAGCACTCCAATCAAGAAAGCAGGTCATCAGCCCCTCCTTTGTGTTCGCATCTCTTCACTACCCTCTACCATGAGAAGTTGTTTTTTTTTTTTTTTTTTGAGTCAGAGTCTCCCTCTGTTGCCCAGGCTAGAGTGCAGTGGCATGAGCTGGGCTCACTGCCACCTCTGCCTCCTGGGTTCAAGTGATTCTCCAGCCTCAGCCTCCCAAGTACCTAGGATTATGGGCACCCACCACCATGCCCAGCTAATTTTTGTATTTTTAGTACAGATGGGTTTTCACCATGTTGATGAGGCTGGTCTCAAACTCCTGACCTCAAGTGATCCATCTACCTCAGCCCCAAGTGCTGGGATTACAGGCGTCAGCCACTGTACCCAGCCCTACTACAAGAATTTTATATCCAACAGGACTTTAAATACTGTCTTGCCCCAATGCTTAATAACTCTTCACTTTTAGTTTTTATTACTTATATATGAACACAGTTTAATGGTCCAACATAGCACAAGGTTTGCTATTAAAAGGAGCATTCCATAGCCCCTATCCCCATAACTCACACCCTAAAAGAAAATCATTTTCAATTTCTTGGGTGGCTACCTCTATGTCTCTAATAATACATGCATTACTGCTTCTTGAACTTTTCTGTTTTCGGCATTACTTATTTCCTTATCTCTCAGGAGGATGGGCACTTAGCCTCCCTTCCTTCCCCAGCCCCTACACCACACATGCGCCTCTCCCATCTCCCCATCCTCCTAAAAGCAATAGCATACTTTTGGTGAAAGCAATCTTCAGTGTTTGCATTATTTTTACTTTGCAAACACTATTCAGGGTGGAATCAGCTAGCTGACTTTGCTTACTTTTACTTTTCAGCACTTTTTTTCCCCTTAATTATTGTCATTTTTATGTTTGCTTAGTTTCTACAAACTTATCACTAATTCAACCTCACATTCTGCTAGTTAT